ATTACATATAAACATAAATTACTGGACTAGAATAGATACAAAACAAAATAACATATTCTAAGGGAAGCATGTATTATGTTCAAGCACCAATATTGCAAATACTTTTTTGTTCCGTTTCTCTATTTCCCAAATGGTCTGTCCTTTGTTACTTGGGTAACTTAAAATATTTTTTAAAATCTCATGTATAAGAAAAAAGCCATGATGTCTGACAACCTTTGAGAAAATATTGTTTGTTGTGCAGACAGCAAAAATGAATGTGCACAAATACTCTGAAATTTTTTAAGCTTTTGAAGGGACAGTAATTAATTCAAAAGCCTCTTGTCCTTTCAGTTACTGAAGAAAATCTAGGTAAAGTTGATAATGACATTCAATCAATTCCATCTTGACCTTTTAATTGAGTGACGTTTGATGAACTAGTTGGGGCTCTCATGTCATTTCCTTGGTCAGCCATCCAGATTTCAACATTCATGGAACCTGGATTTCTCTTCTTGGAAATGCTATCCTTAGAGATACCAAGTGCCACAGAGTAAGTAAAAGAATAAAGTCACCAGTGCCTTCTCCACCTCTGAACAAAAGTCAAGAACATGCAATAAGGGCAGAATAAGGAAATGTATTCAGTTTCTTTGTGAAAAAAAAGTAATGATGTGTTTATAAGATATCACATATGCCAACAGAAGTATAGATACTAAGACTCTCATTTAACTTAAGGATACTCAGAAATATGATCAAATATCTATAAGATTTTATGTCAGGTACCCAAAGAATTTTCTGAGTGCTTATTGGAATCCAGGTTTTGTATCTCTACTTTTCCTTAAATAGCAGCACACTATATGGAATAGATATGTTTAGATGGATTGGATGAAAAGTGACATATCATATATGCACATATGATATATTTACACATATATGCACATATGTACAGGGGTGATATGCAAAATGTTAATCATCCACATATGTGCTATACCATAGAAAACACATTCCCCATAAGCAGCCATGTAAGACTGACTGAGAGCCTTAGCCAGCACATCAGAACCAGAACCACATGTCCTGTCTCCATGCTGTGGTGGGGACGTATGAGTCTGCTTTAGCCAGTAGAACACTCCAGATAATAGGAGCTAATGTGAAAAGGTAAGGAGGCCTGGCTAGAAGGTTGAGAGGACCAAGGTAACATGCCTCCAGTGCCTACTTGTGGTGCTCCGATGCCAAGGTAACTAAGGGTTACTAGAGATAGCTAAAAATAATGTCCTTTATTTTTTACCAAATTATGCAGAATTATTCTAATATTTTAATGGTCCCTTTGCCTGGAGTTTGCCATCCAAAAATTATCACACTCTTGCATAGTAGCATTCTCCATCATTTACACACACACACACACACACACACACACACACACACACACACA